TAATATGATTGGTGGCAAGACCATGATTCAAGAATGCACTGTACAGTGTGTACATATGCTGTCAATAAAACCTGTACTATCGTCCTATTAAGGAGTTCTCAGTGTTGTGATGGGTTTCGTATGTCGTGACAGTTTTTAATGGTAAGGTAATTTTAAATGTAAAGACAATGTATATATCTACTTACGTAATGTGTTTGGCTTAGTTGTTATACTTATTAGCTTTCTATAGTGTGAGGGGAACAAACATGTGAATACATGAGTTGCACAAAAATAAAAGTCTAGCAATGGACATCTTTTTTTACAAACGTACATATTCATGTGCAATATATTATTTAATATTGTTTAATTTTGGAATACAATTTCATTGGTCAAGTCTAAACCACGTGATAGCTGACCCCTGCAGGTAACCCCACAGGGGGACAGAAAAAATTTGCAACCGCACGCCATCTTTGCTTTTCTGAACGATAAACAAAAGATACAAGTAATTTGACCTTTTATACGGCAAATGTTTTCTAACCCTCCCACCGCACCCCCTTTTCAGATTATATATGTTAAGATGTTTCTATGTAGCGCTTAATTTATAGGCCGCAACTTTACTCATAAAAAATGCTATCTGAAAATATTTTAATCCTAAAATATGTTAAATAAACTTTCGGCCATCCAAGAGATGAGCCATGTTCCGCCAATACCTTGTTGTGTCATTTTCTCTGAGTAAACAGAGCTTGCTGTCCTGTAAGGAGGTGTGAGGGTTTATAACTATAGAAGTGCAGTGTAAAAATATAGTTGTCAACCAGGACATTACCTAGTGATATAATGCAAGACAGGCTGACATTCAACACATTTTGAAATAACAAGTTTTGGATTCACAGGAGACATTCCTGTTAATGGACCAAACAAAAATTAAAATTTATTTACCAGAGCATGATCAAACAGGAGTATAACAGTGATACACATATACATCAAATTTAGGACACAAAAACAGTAAGTCAGCGATAAGTAAGACCCAATACAATCCTATTAAATGCACGGCAGGTGATGGTAGTAATACACCATTTGGGAAATAAGAGAACAAAAAATAGTTCGCCAAACAATCATTATATACATTCGTTGGACATTATAGGGAAGATGAATTATGTATATGCATATTCATGTATGGTTATATTAATGTACAGTAACAATATCGACAGGTCATCTTACAAATGGAATTTACACTTGGGGCTCAAGTGAGATATTTATAAAAAAAACAGTCCTAATCACAGACTCTGGTGTTTGTAAATGGCAATTCGCAAAAACGGTCATAGTTTAAAATTTGCAATATCTTATGCGTTAAACCAAGATGTTTGCTGATATCTCAGCATTTCATATTTTTTTAATTTGTTTGAATACTAGTTTATATATATATATACTTTATTTTCCGAAGCTGTAGGCCTAGTCCTCACAGGTACCAGTTTTTGTTATGTTAACAAATAACTATGTTTTATTGTTCTGTCTTCTAGGGCTTAGTTATTGTAAATCATGCCCTGTAGATACATTTAAGAACATTAAAGATTAATAAGTATTTTTGTGGGGAGGGTACTGATCCGTTCTGGTTTGGTTAGGATCTGTTGTTACTCTACGCTCTATCATGAAGGCCATCCTTAAGTCATAGTTGGCTTACAATGTTGAATTATATTGTTTATCATGCCAGTATATAAATAATATATCTTACACTGGTGTTACGGGGATAAATATTTTTCTGTGCAACACTGATTTACCTTGTCTGTCTTGCAGCCTCATCGTTACGTTGTCTACTCGAGATGACAGCCATACGAGGTAAATCTTTGTTATTGTCTGTTTGTCACTCAATTCTACTAAATAAAAGGTCATGCCGGTTATACGAAAGAGAAAGAATGAAGCAAACGCCCTCCGCTAAGTTAATGATCCCATTAACAGCAGATCCTCCTGTATCGTCCTCGATTGATACCATGAATAGACTTTTGCTTGTTCGCCTATTGTTACCTATCTAATTTTTTGTAGTAGTTACACTTTTGTCTCATTATTGCCGTTTTCATGAAGATATATACTATGTTATCTGTTGTTTGGCTTTAAGCACGATTGTTTCCATTTTCACAAACGTGTTGTTTTGACCTACTTTCTATCTGGACAATAACGTCATATTTTGAAAGTTTTGCTCGATGTGTAAGATCTATTGGATCCAGTAAAACATATGGTAATCTTGCACTGAACCATACAATATAAATAGGTATCAGTGTTCGCGTTAAATCAATATCTTCAGTATCTGTATTGAAGACTATTGTGTTATGTAAGATGTACACATTATTCGCAAATTCATTAACTCATAGAAAATGGAAGTAAATACAAGAGCATAATACCGCAGTGTCAAAACATTCATAAGTCTAGCTCAAAGTTGATAAGACTAGGACAAAACATGAATACAGACAGTATCTAAATGGGTACCGTTGGGAAAATACGAGAATAATAGGACCATGTATTCCGGGAGACTAAGCGTCTACTGCTTCAGTAATAAACAAAATAAAAAATCAACCTTCATATCACATAACGAAATAACAGATTTCCCAATAAGACCATGATAGAGACCATAACACTTGTCCATAGTTTTTATCAACTTGCATCTCTAGAAACCCTGTAAGTGTTATCGTCAGCAGTCGACATAGTTCACGAAGTGATGATAGTCAAACCCATCTCTGGGATATGCCACGCTTTGGATATAATTGCCTATAGCACCACTTGTGAATGTGACATATCGACGCCTAGTATTATACGTATTATCACACCTTTTATTTTGACTATTTCAATAGAAGTAATCCCCCTTTTCTGACTCTTTTGAGAAAGAGGTGCATATGGTATACAGTGGCTTACATAAGCTTCAAGCGTTATGAAAACAATCACATATGCAGTATATGAGAAAAATACTGAACTAGAGCGTTTAATATTGAAATATTTATGCTGCAAATATGACGTAGATGCGACGCACATCACATCTAGAAATACCATGTTTCTGTAACTTTGAAAACAAAAGTACAACTTATCGTATTACTTATTCATTTGACATGTACGGTATGTTAATTAATGTAGAACATGTAGCATTAATAGGTCGCTTCATTCGATACACATTATGACTGTGGTTTTCAAACGACTCACGCATCCCACCTTTGTAGAATGGGTTTGCAGCGTTGGATTTGTTAAGTAAAATGATACAGCTATATTTTATCCTATCACGTGTTGTTCTGTTGTCAGTTTCAAATAAAAAATATTAAGATATGAATAAATATGGTATTGCTGTAGAATTTGACATATGACAGTTAAGTTGGTTATTGGTTTATTTACCGAATTCAGTCAAAACTCACAGGATTATAACTTAAACTTGGTTGGCTTAAAAGTCGATTAAAATCCAACCTGACTAAAAAGTATAATCAAAACAGATTTTGTGAATTCGTATAAAAAATATTTGAATGCAATGATTCATCTTCGGGCGATCTGAACCATAGAGGCTATCTATAGAATCAGAAAACTCTTGACACATGTGCGTATAAGTAGCTTAGTGTATCTAATCCACCTCCAGGGTGATACAGGTGTGAAGAATTGTTCTGTCAAAACGATAAAACAATGAATGCAGTTAAAACGTACGTTGATAATGTTCTATAAATGTGATTAATTTATTATGATAAATCAAAATTTCATCTTATCGTTAAAGTGTTGTTCATTAAAACCCCTGTCATCAAAGCAACACATTGTGATCCATATATACATTCAGATTATATTTTACAATGATAAGACATCCCTCAGGTTGTTTAAAAAAAACATCAATTTAGCGTGTAAACACATTGGCCTTCATGTATAGTTATACTTTCTTGCTATTTCTTTTGACACATACTACATATATATATCTGTGCTTGTTTCTAAATCCATTCAAGATAGATTCCCGAATAACAGCCAACAAATAGTTTATCTTTAGGTTTGATAAGAACTTCCTATGTATTCAGATTAATGAATGGGATACATCTGAATTACAAACTATGCAGTATTTTGGTGTAACGGACTGTAAATCATTTACTGGCTATTGTCTTTTATATTAATTGCAAAAGAGTGAATATTATATTTTCATGGCGACAGCATTGTAATTATATTTTCAGTAAGGCATGCATTTAATATAAACCCGTATAGCCATAACTACATAAAATAAATGATTAAGGACACACCCAATATAACCGAATACACAAAACCTACTAAATTTAAATTAAATTAAATAAACAACATTTGATATAGCGCCCTATCTAGCTAACATAAGCCACTCTAAAGCGCTTTACAGTACATAGATAAACAATTTTATACAATCAATATAATTAGCATATACATTAATCAATACAATATTGAGGAATTCGCAGGAGCTGCCTAATCAGGCGCTAACTACTAGTCCTATGCCACCTGGCTAATATCTCTCAATGTGTGTATGCCTGCATGTGTGTTCGAGTTGTATTGTGTTTAAAATAAACGATTTAAATGTACCAATACTACGCAATTAGTGGTACTGTATCAGTTAATCATTCGTATGTATATTAATATATATTGAAATACTTTGTAATTGCACGATAGATAATCTTGTGCAACATGTCAATGAAGCTCCCAGCCATATGAATGTTACAACAATCACAAGCTTCATATATATATTATATCTATATAGTTTAAATGAAGCTCCATCAGTGTACGAATAAAACTTGATAGCAGTATTATATCAGTCGATAGACACACTGGATCTCGCTCTATATATATGCATGATTTTTCTACATAAAAATGATTTTCATCTCTAATTAATATATTTATTATCAGGACAATAGGCTCTTTCAATTTTTGATATGTTACACTGTATGTGGTATCTGATTTTAAAATGTTCAGATGTTGTTCATATAACGAGTAGACTATAAATGTCTTTGTAAACATGACAGGTGGCTGATACGACATAGGCCACCATTAAATTTTAGTTTGCTTCTTTATTCCAGCAGAGCCGGGTTATGATATGTACACCGCCAATAATCGACTGAAGCCTATCTCTGGAATCATTCACAGAGCAAAAGTCAAAACCATCAAAATCACGTTCGTAGTTGTCTCGGGTGAGTACAACAGTCTGTTACAAATTATTACTTACGTCTGTAAGCAGTTCAAATTTATCTCCACTAGGTACGCCTTATGGTACGGACATCAAATGTAATAGCGAATAGTGTCCCTACTGAAGGTATTCGGCGGATCACGTGTGGTTTGCTAAGATCCTGTTTTAGTATACTTGTGTTTTATATTTTTCTATTTACTGAAATGCTACATTGCCCCGATTTTCTTTAAGATTGGTTAACTTAATCGTGTCGTCAATAAAACAAAATATTTGTGATGGCTTTATTTTATGGTATTTTGAGTCCCTCCACCGTTTATAGTTTTCCGTACAGAACATACCATACAAAATATTTCATATTAGCTTGTCGTTAAGATGATTGAGTTAAGAATATCCAGGTCCTTAAGATTAGGTCAGGTTAATATCATAACGCAAGACCTTATTCCATACAGACATATTGAGGCACATGATATGGGACTTTCTGTTTCAATTATTACCGACAACCTGAACAGTTCTTTAAAAGTGTGGAAGAAAACCTTTTATACAGCCAACGTGTAAAGAGTGCAACGATTGCTACGGCACGAGAATAAATTGTGTGACAGAGTTAAAATATTACGTATTTCCTAGTAACCTCCTCTCTAGACAAACAACAAACTCATATATAAGATTTTATGTCAGCCGGATTTAATACCGATAGTGGTTTAGGACATATTCATTATATCGTGAATGCGTTCCCGGGCAGGATGTAACAAATCCGGATTAGACACTTTTAATCTGCAGTGTCATCTGGTATTGTCGCCTATGATAACTGATGAGTTATTACGTTTTACGTTATTATAACAGAGGCTATACACATTAACAATGTTATTATTGACATTTAAAACATGTTTTCATTACCATGGCAAGGACATATCTATAGACATACGTTAAGGATAACATTAAAACAATTTCAACTCTACAACCCTCTGTCTGATTCGTTTCCGTCAGTAGGCGATAAAAGATTATATTTTTTTCGTTCCCATTTTTCCGACTGTTCGTCCTGTAACACTTTGTCCGAAGCTTATCTTCTGGAATTTAACATATTTACTAACATTATCACAATTTGTTTATAAGTTCATTATGAAAAAACAAGTGAAGTGTCACCATTACCCGACCATTGACCCTATCATTGAAAAGCTTGATATTCTAGAATCTAGGAACACAACACCAAATAAGTGTAGGAATAATGGGATGTCAAATACTAAAGGTAGGTCAATATTGCATTTTTGACCCCCGCGTATAACCGTGACCGTAGTTTGATTTTGCCATCAAAACAGTCCGAACCTGGCTTATTATACAATTTCCAAGATAATGATAAATAGAACGATAAATTAGAATGGTAGACAACTCATTGTAGCTTAGCACATAACCTTTGATACTGTATAGCGGTTATATTTCGCGGGCGTTTTAATTTCGCTATGTTCGCGCTTCGACTAATGTCTGCGCATTCTAAACACCAGCGAAATTATCGAATATGTTGACCAATTTACAGACCTCATCACAACATGTTGAAAATACTTATAGCCCCATGCTGTTATGCAATCTTAAATGTACTCAAATTAGATTATCACCGGACAACTTGGCAGTCCATGTTAAAACAGCACTTCTATATAAGTGGCCACAATACATTCATGTAAACACAGTAGTAATTTATTGATTAGTTTACTCCTACGAAGGTACATAAACATTTAATTTTCTTTCGAGTGAAGTCACTGGCGGATGACGAGGCTCGGGATCGGTGTTTTTCAAACGGTTTATTCCGATGTTTAACCCTTAAATGATGACACTCAAAATACTTTTCAAGATACATGGGATTCAGGTACACAGCTCAAATTAACCCCTGCGAATATGTACCGCAAAATAGTGACCGCTATATAGTATATCGTAGTTAGGGTAATAATGGAGTAATTACAGCATTGAAAACACAGTTTCTCATAGGGGCATCAATTCTAACAGTTATTGTTTAACACGCGTAACTTAGGGAGTGGCGTCATAATTGTCCATGTGATCAGTTCAGTGTTAATAATAACTGTTATCGCTTTACACGAACTGAGAAAAATGGCGTCATAATTGTCCATGTGGTCAGTTTAGTGTCAATAATAACTGTTGTTGCTTTATACGAACTGATGAAAATGGCGTCATAATTGTCCATTTGGCCAGTTTAGTGTCAGTAATAACTGTTATTTCTTTACTTTACCCGAATTGAGAAAAATGGCGTCATAATTGTCCATATGGTCAATTTAGTGTCAATAATAACTGTTATTGCTTTACATAAACTGAGGAAAATGGCGTCATGATTGTCCATATGGTGCCGTTAAATGTCAATTATAACAGGTAGTGCTTACACACTTAACTAAGCAAGTAACGTCATAACTGTTCGTATAGTGCAGTTTAATGTTTTGGATGAACTTTTGAGTATTATTGCGGATTATTTAAGATCATCCAATACCAAGGCTACAGTACTAATATCTAACAGATATGAAACTAACAGATTGTCACTTTACTTTTAAAACGTCCGTGCTCTGAGTGTCGCTCCTGTACTAATATGTATGTACCTTACGTAATGTGAGATAGATATTCCTACGAAATAGAGGTCAATTACCAGTTCAGAAGATATGTCGTTAAATATGTAATGTTGTATCGAAATTCGACGTTTAGATTACATAATTTTGTATTGCAAAGTCATGTTTATGGATTTCAAAAATATATATTCTTTATAACTATAACAGGATAAAGGATAAGTTCACTAATGATAGCATGATGTTGTCAAACCTGCGCCGTTAAGCACCGTATGGCGCCATTAAATGTTGGAATTCCCCATCCCTTTCCCTCCATGTCTGGTCAATGACCGATTAAATCACACACAATAAGCCTTAGTTTAGTTAGAAAGGTATGCGTTATTCAAAATTAAACAGAAAAAAAGCAGTTGCCGGTGCCCGACCTTTGATAGGCTGCACGTACCGACAATACCACATACAGTATTCACAAAGAGTATAATTAAGATTGAAATAGGCATTCAACCCGAGCCAGGACCAGAAACAAAGACGAAATTTCAACAATTTTTGTTTACTTGTTAAGATTATATTTTTATATTAAATATATAGTAATGATTACGATTATTTGTACCAAAAACATAACTAAATATTTAATTTAAAAATTGTAAATCTTAACAAGTAAACAAAATATAATTCATGACATTAATATAAGTTTGTCATTTCCAAATTGAGATTTCGTTCAAGTTCTATGTCCCTGGTCCAGGCTCGGCATGAATGACTATTTCAATCTTAATTAAACTCGGTGTGAATACTTCAATATTTCAAATATTTGTTTGAGCACTGATATGGACATATTTCAGGGATGCATTTTTTTTTTACTATTTCATAAAACCATCCTTAAAAATAACACGATATGGCTTAAATCCCCTAATAGTTAAAAATACCTTAATACAGAGACCAACGGGGTTTTTGGATGCTGTGTACAGCATTGATAGCGGTCCTCGCCAAGCCTGGGCAAATCAAAACCAAACAACATACTTTCTTCTTCCGCGAAAGATCTTTAAATGCTGTGTTGGTTATTTCATGGTATGATTTATGATATATAATGATGAAATAAATATGAAAACGATCAATAAATCAAAGAAAAAATGTTAAAATTTTACGAAAAGGCGAGGTTTTTTTCAGTGAGCATCATGAACTATATCAATATCAGATTACTACGCTTTTTGGACCGAATAATTTCTTCACAAAAAAAAACAACACTTTATCTCCTTCCGCGAAAGATCTTTAACAGTGACGTTTTTAATCAGTGAAAGTTCGCAAATATATTTATTTCCAATTACTACGCCTCGTATTCCAATACTCTAAAGTGTGTGTGTAAGAGTTTTCTCACCTTGTCCATCATTGCGTTGTTTCATACTCGCGACTTGTTGAACGACTGTTTTATAACTGTCTTTGATAAAGTAGGCTTCGTGTTTTCTTTGTCTCAATGGAAAGTCTCCAAGTGAAAGAGAATGTTTACGTATACTAAAGTAGCCGTCAGCAGCTGTGCCTAACGAGTTTATAGATAGCTTCCCAATGCGACAGCAGCTGTGCCTAACGAGGTTGTAGATAGCTTCCCAATACAGTCTCTAGATAATGACCCGATTAGTATAATACAAGTGCGTGGTGAATATAGCATATTGAACACCACAAAATAAACCGTATATACATATTATTCACATTAACCAGACACTGAATAATTATATAGGTCTTTATCCTTCGTTATAATATCGAGAGAATTAGAGATACACAAGGGATTTGCATAAGTCCGTGATTACACGCACTGGAAATAATACAATCTCGTTTTAATTTTTTGTATTATTAATCATGATAATAACAAATGGTAATAATAATATCATAATTATTTATTTATATTATCTATATAACATTTATTTATTTATCTTTTATTTAATCGTAAACTTTCCCATAATCTTACGGGACAATTTTGGTTTGCAGGGTTGTTACTATTTTTAAAAAGATCATTGTCTGCGCTTGAAGGATTTCCATCGATTTGAAACACTAATTAAGGACCATAATATCAGACAAGTTTCAATTGTTTTAGCAATACTCTGCTTGTTATATATATTTTTATCAAAAATTATGATTAAGGGATGGGCTTTTATGACTCTTACTCAACAACATGTTCTTTATTATTAACTGCCATTCTGTACTGATATACCACCTCCTTTATTCCATTATTTGAATCCTTCATACACAGCATCCATGAGTGCCCTCGGCACTTTGATTAAAGTGTGGGAGACATTCCGTTGACCAGACAATGACCAATCCCGCGAAAAGGCATTGTGCACTAGTTACAAACTGGTGCACTTCGTAGAAGTAATGGATATGGAACGTGCGTGGATCATCTGTTGTGGTATTATAAGGGGTAATTCACTATGTTTTACAAGAAAAAAACACCTATTATAGAATA